CTCATGGAAAGCCGATGAATAACACTAGTATAATTTTAGGTCAATTACTACAGGCAATAAACGAAATAACAGAATGAATGGATTGGTATCGACGTCTGCAATTTGAACGCAGGAATTCAATAAAAGGCAACGCTTCTCACTGAAATGTAAGCTACCGCATCAAATTTAATTGCAACTGATTCACGGGTTGAATGTTAACAACAATCATGTTAAGATTGAAATCAATTTGAATGTAAATATCTGACAACAGTTTTGATACCACTCTTATTCCATCGAGCGCGCAATAGGGAAGTATTAGAATTGAATGAAATTTAAATTCAAATAATTCATATTTTCCCTACACGTGATTATTTGACAGTATTTTTGTATGAAATAATATTACTCGTATGTTATAACTTCGTTAGATTTGTTAAGTGTGACGTCTCTGAATCGTGGATGAACATTATAAAAACGTAGATGACAAACGAAAAGCTAATAATGTATATAACGTCACAGCGACTTCGCACATTTATCCCCAATTCAACATACAATCCTGTAATATCTGTTCTTTAATCATAAATATTTCGGCTAGAATATACATAATTCTATTCATACATAATTAATTGAAAAGCATGTACGAAGAAGTATAAATCGAGTCTGCGATCGAAAGTTACTCCGCTGCCGCCCAAAGGTTTTATTGATTGCCTTCATTCTATTTAATCGCCCTGGAAGAACTCTCATCTGTCACGAACCTCATAATAACCATCCACTTAATGACCAGCTATTATATACGCCTGCATGCCATACATTGATTATCAATTGGAAGTTTGCCTAGACCTCCATAAGGTTTAGTGGAACGGTTAATGTAAGGTTGGCGGTTGGTGACGTGCTCAGGTTATATCAGAATTGGCCCGTTTTTCATACTGAACAGGAAAATTATTTTATCATTATTAAAAGTCATTCAAGGAAAAGCTAATAGCATGACAACATTACTTTCAGTTAAGTCTTTATCATAGCCATAATTTTTGTTTTTGAATATTGTTGAAAAATGAATAGGGTTTTCATCTAAGCATGTATTTACTTAGTAATTTTCGTGAATTATGATGGCTCTGCGCCAGACTCAGTTATTAATACTTTATTCCTAGATCTTTTATTGGGGTTCATAAAAGCGTTTCCCATGTATGTTATTATTTTTTTTTTTTGACAAAGCGAAATTCAAAGTTTCAGGGCGAGGTGACGTGAGCGTATATCAACCATCGTGCCGAATGATCTCTTATCATGTTACAGCGGCGGCGGTAAATTTGTACTACAATATTTGCCAATTACTTCAACTTTTATAGCATTGATGGTTGCTGTAGTCTATCAGCCGTTCTTAAGCTTAAAATTCTTTCAAATTTTGTCATTTATGTAATTTAATATAAGCTTGTTTATTTATAAATTTCGAAAGCGAATAAGCTTTTATCAACGCTCCAAAGTAATTAGCAAATTTTATGAAGGCGGTTTTTGCATGAGAAGTTGATGACCTCAAGCCATCCTATAATTAATCGAGTCTGCTTGAAGACAGGCAGGAACTCGTGCGATAATTTGAGAAGCTTCTCAGTATTTCCTAAGGTGCAGGTTATATAATTATTAATCGTTTTTCGGCTTCTCGCTCACTGTAACTGAAGGACTCATTTATCCTTAATGAGGACTAATTCTTCCTCTCCTCAGACCACGGTACATTCAAATCACTTGCCTTGTGTTTATCTGCATTCGCAATGAAATTTCTGTTCCTAATCTTTTGACATCATATTTTCCTCTAGCACCTCTAACTTCTGCTCATATTGTGCTCTACTATCTCCAGCTTCTGCTAAGATTTTCTTCTAGCACCTCTAACTTCTGCTCATATTGTGCTCTACTATCTCCAGCTTCTGCTAAGATTTTCTTCTAGCACCTCTAGCTTCTGCTCATATTGTGCTCTACTATCTCCAGCTTCTGCTAAGATTTTCCTCTGCCGCCTCTTGCTTCTTCTCAGCTTTCCTGTTAAATCAAAGACTTAAAAGTATACCGGGTGCCTGTTAAATCAAAGACTTAACAGTACTCCGGGTGCATCAGGTTAGTTCGACTAATTCTTCCCTTGACATCTCTTTCTAAAAAAATTGTTTTGATTTTCTAACTTAGAACGCTAGACATGTTGCATGCCTAGTAGTGAATATTTTTAATCAAATGCTGTCTAGCAGAATAGTTTTACGCACGGGCAAAGTTTCGCTCTGTTGAAAAAAGGTTGCTTCCTGCAAACTTTTGTGTTGAACTTTTTTTCTTTGTCTCTGAGCGATAAATATATTTTTTGAGTAAATATAAAGCGATGGCATTAAAATAATGACTTAAGCGTATATAATATATAGAATGAAACAAAAATCATCCTGACTATGAGAACGAAACTCCTAATAAGCTTCAAATACCCAAGGCGCGTTGCATATGGAACACGACAAATATCAGTATAAACAGCGATTCATTTGATTGATGTCGCCATGCCTGTCGTTCAGTAACTTATGTCGAGAGCGAGAAGTTCCATCAGAAAATCATTGATCAGACGTTCGATCCGCATAGCTTAAATAATTTAATATTTTCTATTCCCAGTGACAGATTTAACTTCATTAACTTATTGGATGTAAAAAATAAATGGTCTTGCTCTCATCTTTTATGACCAAAAGTATGAAAAATAATATGCCATTAAGTAGAATTTTGGATGTCAAGATTTCGATACCCGGAGTGAGAGCTACAGAGTTGCTGGGGGAAGCTCACATGTGCATATAGTTAGATAATCCTAATAATGAGACCAAGATATATGACATTGCATGGTGGTGCAACCGATGACGAAAAATATTCAAACGATCTGTATCGTTTCGAAAAAGGTAATCAAAGCTATTTTTAATGTATGGTGATTCGATGCGAAAATGAAAATCAAGCTAAAAATTATGTATTCATACGTGCGCCTATAGTATGCTATTTTCTGAGACACAAATAATGAGTTGCAGAGAACCACTTTCATGCTATAATTTTAATGGTAGCAATTGTGTAACGCCGATACTTCATTTTTAAATAATCACGATAGAAACTTCAATTATATCTGCACTTGCACATTTTCAAGCCATAAAGATATATGTCAAAAATCATAGTGTTGCTACCTGAAGATAAGTGTGACGAATGTAGAGGTGCTACCACACCTCTACATTCGCCAGGAATGTAGAGGTGTCATCACATGTCTACACCTCTACATTCGCCAGGAATGTAGAGGTGTCATCACAAGTCTACACATCTGCATTCGCCAGGAATGTAGAGGTGTCATCACACGTCTACACCTCTACATTCGCCAGGAATGTAGAGGTGTGGCATTGAACAGGTGCCTGGTTGTGATGCGGTCGATGTAGAGGTCGATATGCGAGGTATTGCTGCACTTGACAGTCTTGCTTCTCCTCACGCCATGTCCATTAGCTTTTCATCCATAAGTCATGCAACCAGCACGCCAGGCTGCGCAATTTATCGCTCGCTTTGATTTTTCTCTCGACTTTTTGCACGGGGATATTGAAGTTATTCAAAATCACGTGTTGTGTTCTGGATTTGTTGATGCACAAGCACGGTTTCAGACGTAGAGAGAATGATTAATTTTTACTATTTTATTTTATTTGTTAGCATTAAGCCATAAATGTACTTAATTTTATACATCATTAGCGGCGCGTGCAGCGTATTGAACTTTGATGATGGATTGTCGCAAAATTCTTCTCGAATTTTGTTCAGAATTGGACAAATTGATCTTCATTGTCTCTACATGAAGACGTGTGCGTGCTGTCAACTTGTGAAAATTTAAAATTTATGTAGTGTAAATCTGAAAATAGTTTATAGTCCGATTACTGTTCATTAGATCACGGTTTGATTTGGAAAGATGTCATCTTTCGTCCAAATTAAACTGATAACTTTCGTGTATATATTTTAGCGGAGTTGCATATGATTATATTAAAAAATGGTTTCCGATCGTATCAGCCGAGAAAAAGAGCATTATTCTAGAAAGAATCGATATTTTATATTTACATAAATATCTTTAAGATTAGTTCGAAAGAATCTAGAGTATAACTTATTGGGCATTCTAAGCCTAGTCGCCTATGCATGGCCAAACATGCCTTTCATTATATATAGCGCGTGATATTTACGGTGAAAATGTTAAACCAATTCCTACATCTGTATCAACGTACGTTTGAATCTCCCGAATGAATCTCTGGCTGGTGGTGGCATTTGAATCTGGGTATCGATTTTGATTTGGATGACGTTATTTTTATCTTTTTAACCTCTCATTTTTTATTTGTCTTAGCGAAGTCTCTACCGTAAAATTACACTTTTTAATCGTGTTTACAAACAAATGTTCCATCAATAATTATTTGTTATAATGTATATATTTACGCAACAATTAACAATAGTATCCTTGCTAATCAAACTTAATCAATAATAGAATCGCTTCAATCCCTCTTATATAAGTTGATAATCCCCGAGATGAATTTATTTTAATAAACTTTTTACAAGTGCGTGTTTACCGTAAGTGACGGCCGATTCATCAAGGTATAAACTCGACTGGATTTTGGACGTGTGCATCAGAGTAATCTGTCGTTGCCAGGATTTATTTCAACATCATCAAGTAAATCGGATCAGCCATGATTAAATAAATAAAAAAAGAGGGAATAAACCGGTGAAAAATGTCTCTATCGACAAGCGTCGTCGCTGTCTGGCCCGCGTACGAGTGGAGGGGGGTGAGGGGTGGAGTGGAGGTCGCGTCAGTCTAGCGTCTCTGTTGCTCCTCAGTGTCTCGCGTGACTCGGTGCTCGGTGGTTGTGTAAGAAGCTGTTCTTGCCGCCGCTTTCTGTGGATACCCACGCATGCCTACAGCCCTTCTGTTTCTGTGCGGAATTTCGTGGTCCCATTTACTTATTTTTCTACTGAAAGTTACGTGTATCTGAAAGATTATTAATTGATGTGAATTTTTTAATTGTTGTGCAATTCAAAAGAAATTGTGAGTCTGCTTACAAGTGTTCATGATGACATTTTAGTCGCGTAAATTTTATACGTCTATTGACACGCTGAAATGTGTACCTAAATTACGGATCAAACTCTCAGTGTCCAGGAACAAAATTTCTGCTCTGATTTCAGCCAGAAATACGGAAGTTATCAGACCGCTTATGCGTGTTTAAGTTTAAAACAAACATTTCTGTCGATTGAGGAAATGTGACGAATGACAAGGTTTGATGAATACAAAGAGTAATCTTACTAACGCACGATGCTGTGGTGGCAAGCATAAGTTATCGCTGAGGATGGCGCCCAAGTGCAGAAGAAGCGCACGGTCGCTGCCAAGTGTTGGCGCGCTGTGGCCGCGGTGCCTGACGCTGCTGTGCCTGCAACTCGCACCCGCGCTCGTATACGCAAGTGAATACGCTACAGGTGAGTCGCTGTACTGAGGAACTTTTTCTTTCAAGGTTTTCGTTTAAATGACCTCATAACAATGGAAAAATTTTACGTGACTTCAGCACATGAAACAACGACCATTTCATGATGCAAAGGTGGTTTTTGATTTACCATCCCACTCTTTTTTTTAATATAATTTGCTCTAATGTTTCTGTTATGAACTCAAATCAGTGTGAAACCATAACTAAATTGCGAGAGTGATGTGGATGATAAAGCGGACCTATAGTTATTATCTGAATGTTCACTCTGCATGGCCCTTTATCCTGCCGTGAAATCCCGTAAAAGTATGAAGACTATGAACATGTAACCGACACGAATGAGATGCTAAATGTTAACTGAACCATGCACACAATATAGTCTGATGAACGCACCGACTACAAACACTCCAAACCAGAAGTTTCTCGAAGTAATTACTTTTTAGTAATAATTGAATAATTAATTAATTAGCACAATAAATTCGAGAAAAACTTCTGTATTATCACAAATTATTCGCCATCTCTTGTTACACGTTGATTAGGGAAGTGGCGTTCACTCATCTACTGCGCTTTCATTATGGCAGTTAATAAAATATATGACTAATTACTGATCTCTTTGTCTTCCTTTAAAGTTAATCCGACACGTCTGGCAAAATCCGCGGTTGTCAGAAATTTGCCTCGTAGATAAGCAGTTCAATTATGATATATCACAGGAGCAGTCGAAAGATATAATACTCCGATTTTTGACGATATACATTACTATATACTCGATATAGACTTAGGGTCAATTAGTTATCTTTGGCTTGTACATCGAAAACAATTGAGGTTCCAATAGACTCAAAGCCGCGATCAGACTCAGCGCACCAATTTAATTGCGAATTCTACTGCTTTGAACATAAAGTTGTGTAATCAAAATGAATACGTTGCCTAACATCAAATTGAATTATAACCGAAAATATTTTATTGTTTATTTGTTCTGCCATGTGAACATGTTTTATTCTCGCCATTTCAAACAAAATATTATTGTGGGAGTAAAACCCGTGGTGCATGGTACAGGAATTCTCATTTGTTTTCGCTTATTCTACTGCGACCGTTTATTCGTTTGTTCAAGTCTAGTCGCACAAAGTGGTAATCTATATTTCTTTTTTTTGTTCAGTTAAACTTGTTGCGTTTAAATTGTGAGGGATTCGGAATTGCAGTTTGATGTCTGGTATATTTGGTTTCTTTCTATCACGATCATGAATGTGGTCGTTTCTCAACAATATAAACGTGAAACAAAGCCACAATAAACTGCGACGATTAATTGTTCTGGGTAAATAAGTAATAGTATAGTACAAAAAGTGCACTGTTGATGTTAGTTAGTCGAGTGGTTGATGTTCAAAAGAAGGAGTAACTTCAAATTCATCATTGAAAAATCAAGTCAACAATGGAAAGCATTTAAATAAACACAGGTTTTCTCATCTGAAATGCTTGATGCTTCGCTTCTCCTGCACGTTTGTATCCCATTGTTTGCACTGGAAAAAATTCTATTTTGGCGTCGCAACGTTCATCATGAACGGAGAAGTGACTGTGAAGCGACGGTTGTGTTGTTTACAGCTTGTAATCAGTCGTGAGAATGACAGCGCGTCCTCGAAACGAGACAATTCCGATAGTGTCTGTGGGATCTCTCGGGGAACTTGTCGCTTATATCTGCGTCGGTAGTTCGACAAAACTGAAGTGAACGGGGATCTCGTAAAACTTGTGATTGAAGTTCCTAACAGAGGAAGAGAATTTGCATCTTGATGATATTGATACAGCTTTGAATATCCGTCGTTTCTCGTTTTCTTAAGGAATAAAATCGATATGTGTTGTCGAGGACATCGGACCACGCTTGATTGGTCTTGGGCTTATCCAAGCATCTGCAAATCGCTATAGAGGTTGCCCAATGTTAGCGATCCGTAAATATAATTGCTCTATAAATTTAAATGAAATTTTGGTGCAAAATTGTTCCATGTTAAACGGGATGATGAATAGGGTTCAGTTTAATGCGGCTCAAGCCTGCGATAGAATATTATCTGGGGCATCACTGCATGATCGCTGATTTGACTGCTAGTACAATCCTAACCCATTGGCAACATATTTCTGTTAGGAGCACTTGTTCCATATTACACTTGCAATAATTGATTGTAACTTTGTGTAAAATTATAAAGTGCATGCATTAAAATAAGATAACTCAATTATTATTTCCCTCATAAAAGGAAAATACCAACATGGTTCACTGCACGATTATATACAGTCGCCCTTCGCCATGTTTTTGCCGTTTGTTGCCTAAACTTTAAGCTCAAAAATCTGAATTGTAAGTGCAATTAAAGAATTTTAATTGTAGAACAAAAAAGTTTCGGACGATTTCAGTGTATATTGTTTGTCACGTAAGCCATTAAAATAGATAAATCGGATGTCCGACCGGGAGCTAGAAAATTCGCACTAGTATCGTGCCTGGCATCATCTATTTAGCCTGTAACTTCAAGAGGATTTTTGTATATTATTTATTCGGTCAACCAGATATCTCTTCTCCGATTTGCTATGCAATATTTCGGAAGGTATTATCTATATATTAATAGTATTCGCTCAAACGATTCGCATTTTGTTTTTAGTTTATGATCAGACGAATTTCATTCATGAAACTGAAAAATTCAGATGCCTTAGAAATGATTTTGGATTTCTTGTATTATTTTTTGCTTTCTATTTGTGTGACACAAATTCTTTCGACACGAATGCTTAACGAAATACGATGGTGATATGTAGCAATGTTAACATTGAAGCGTTTATTATATGTTACCACTAGAATATCCTGTGTTCATTTTGCCCTAAACTAAACCTACGCAAATTCCCTCTGAGCTGAAGGCTGTTGAGATCTCAGACCTTGGCCATTGCTTTGTGGATTAGCGTCGTGGAAACAAGAGCCATGCATTTAAGATGTACACTGAAACTAAACATCCATAGGTAGGAGCCAACGTCTTGCCTGCTGTAAGCTTGTGTCCACAGGCCAGCATTCATGGCCGCATTTGTGGTCGGCTACAACTGATGAATTTGTTAACAATCCTTGCTAGAAATTAGCACGCAACTACCTAATGTAGATGATACTGTGTCGCTTGCATCAAGGCTGGTTAGGCAGTCATGTGCTCTAACTGCATAATGAGCTCAAATTAGCATTTCAATTCACTCTAAAATCTGTTCGTTTGCACTGTTGATCCCTTCCTTGAGTGTTCAAAGTATAATTTATTTGTTTGTACGGACGCAGGACCAAAGCGGGGGCGTTAAAATGTTTTTAATGAAAATTAAAACGAATTACAATTCAAATAATTCACGAATACTCACATTATTCTATTTTCTTTCTATCACTAATTAGACGAATTTAATTAATTAAATATCACTAATTTGACTAATTTAATTAAATTAATTTGACACTAATTTATTAATTAGTGTCAAGTAATAGAGATTCCCATCGACCTCGCAGCTTATTTTTGTTTATTATTCATGAGCAAACCTGATGTTTCTATTAATATCTCTAGGATATCGTCTATCAAAACACGAGTTCTTCGTTTATCTTGAAACATTTACCATGTGAACCTAAAGTGTTTTGAAGCAATCCTTGGATTTTTTCAATGTTAGATAAATTGCCACAAAATTTTGTCGTATCGTACAAGAGTTGTACTGCTGGCACAAATAGGGTCCATTTTCTGATGTTGCCAAGATCTCTTTTAAGTGAGCCCTGGAGGGATCATTCTGCAGCTCCGCCCAGCGATCCAGTTCCCCGCGCTGCTATTGGGTGCTCAGAGCGAGCTACCCGCATCCTGGAATAGCCTCCCAAGCATTCGTTATCTCGTGTTTAACTACAGTACTACATCTATAGTACCAGCCAGGCAACCAAGAAATAACAGCTGACGCTTATTTTAATTTTCCAGAGCACTGGAAGTTGAGATTTTAGTATTTTTATGTTCAAAGTATTAGTACTTAGGATCTCACACGCCTTTTTATGATCAGAATGTTAACTCGCATGCTCCGGTGCTACTTAAAATCGTACCTTATTTCAGATTAATTGCATTGTGGAAATGAGCTTTTATTTAGAAGATAAAGTATAGAAACCAATTCTATTTAATTGCTAATCTTGCGCACGAAATCTTAGACTTTTTCGTGTCAGCTCATTCAACAAACTTTGTCTCCGACTGTTGTTCTCTTCTCATTATTTTGGTATCCATTGAAGGGACTCTGTCGACCACATTATATAATTGACGCTGTACTATTAATATTTTCAAATCAGTTTAAAGATTACAATCTAACAGGAAGGTTTCATTCTTTTATTTATTTAATGTACAGTGCCAAATTATGATTTAGCCAAGAAGTGTGATTTTTCAGTTTACCTTATTCAGGAGTGATGTTAATTCACATTATTTGAATCATTAGTCACTTAACTGAGTCCAGGAGCGACATGAATTAGAGATAAGCTTGCATTATCAATGATGGATCTCGATTATCGTTTACATATCAATTAATTTTTCTAATTGTAAACACTTAACACACCTCTGCAAGAACAGGCTCCCGCTAACGTCGCACTTGCACCCAGCACAGGTTTCATAATTCAAACAGGTGGCTACGGGACCAAATGTTAACCAGCGATTCACACAATTTTCGATCTATCTAAAGCCGGTGCCTTGCTTGCCACTTTTTCTTGCCACTTTCCATTTGAATTTTAACCCGCAATAATTTAATGTACATTTTTATGATTCTACATACTTGATCATATGTAAATATCGAATCAAAATTACAATTATGAATTTATGTATTCATTTATTTCCATTAATATCGATCACCCTTTATTTCATACGTCGTGTAACGAATAGAAATGAAAAATTTTCGATCATGGAATAGATTTCTCATACTCAAAAAGAAATTTACTATCTTTGCAGATTTGCTACCGTCCTTGAACATGTACCCGGAAATCTTGGACTTTCCACGTAATCT